CATGACCCCATCTGTGTGTGGCAGCTAAATCAGAGTACCAGGAAGCCTTCCTGTCCAGCCAAACCCCATCCTTCAAATGCAGTGTATGACATATATAGTTATGTGAATAGGCAAATAAAAGAAAAAGCTTCCATTCTGCTAGAAATAAAAGGATAACTTTGAGAGAAGCAGTTACTGAAGTGTTGATGTAAAGGAAGCATCAACTGTTTGGATGTAGTTGCGTGCTGACATGTGATAGCCTGCTGAAGCCATATTTTTGGCAAATGCACAGGAGGCTGTGACTCCATGAGCTGCTCAGTTGATCTAATAACTTGCTGCTGCTGAAATGAAGAAGTCCTGTTTCCAGCTCATTCTCCCATCTCTGGTGGGGTCCTGCCCTCTTTCTCTTGAGCTTTCACGTCAGCTCCTGCACTCCCTGGACCCTCTCATGAACCACTTAGCTGACTAGAGAGAACTTATTTCTTTTCTGGCTTAATTTCTTGCTATGTGAGTTTGTGAAGAAAATCAATTTACGGGAGAATCCTGTCAGTCTCTGTGTCAGGGCAAGGTAAATGGGGGAGGAAGGCTGTTTTGAGGAGGGAGAGAGGGAGCAGTGCTGCCTGCCCATTTTCCAGAAGAAAGTCAGCAGCTGGCTCAGATAAGCAGGGAACCAAAGCCTAAGGGTCAAATGATTCCCATGGTCAATACACTAGGGGACAGAAGAAGGAAGATAAGGAATTTTAAGAATAAAAAAAGAAATAAAATATATTTTCTCCATAAGAGAAAGGAGACACATCAGACATATCACTGCTTAAAAAAAAAAAAAGAAAAAAAAAAAAACCTGCTATAGGATCAAGAGTAGGTGCTAATAACAAATAAACATAGAGGATGAAGTTCTGTGACCAATATGTACGTTTATCACAGTAAGTTTCCCCAACAGACTTCCTTTCCTGTACTATTTTCTCTGGATATCTTGGCAATCCTTGAACAAATCGAGTTTGCCAACAAGTTGTACTGAATTAAATAGTTTAGAATGATCATATAGGAGCACTGTTCTATGGTTAACAGTCCTGCATAGGAGGAGAAATGAAAAGTTAGCAGTAAGTGGGTAAATGCATAGCATGATGTTGATTGGCATGCAGAACATCCCTGGTTTCAGGTTTCTGGAGTCAGTGTTATGCTATTATTAAGAATTGTGTGTTGATACTTATAGCTTATATAATAGGAGCAAGTACAAATAAACACTTGAATAATTTTTTAAAAGGTGCTGTATGATGCAGGGTTTATCACTGGCAAAGACAACATTTAAAATGCTTGGTAATTATTCATTTTATAATAACACTGATGCATTTAGTGCTCCCCTAATCCATTGCCAGGCATGAATATAGGTGCTGTGAATACCTGGAGCAGTGATACAAGAAAATTCTGACATCTGCTCATCACAATGTACTCACTTAAAGTGTTTCTGTATTCAAAGATACTACTAAGTAAATAGAGCCTAATAGGCCCTGCTCGGTTCTGGATATGATTCAGTTTGCTGTGAACAATTGCCAAGGCAGACTATATCGCCCATCCCAATTTCAACCTGCCCTAATTCCCTTTATGAGTTTATTATTTAATGCTGGTTTAGTGCTTGGAGAGACCCAAACAGGAAGCGTCTGGGCGTTCTCTGTTCATGAAGTGGGTGGGATGGAGTTCTTTAGAGAAAACAAAATACGATCCACCTACAGATCATGTTAGGCCAGCTCCCCAATTTCCTCTAAGTAGAACAGAGGCTTTTGTTGCCTTAGTTACTGGAACGATCTACAAGTCAACAGCAGAATCCCAGTCTCCAGACAGAACATCCTTCTGCATTTTTGATGGCAGCATAGGATGGGAAATATCTACTTTTTTACTTTTTGTTGGAAAAAAAAAATAGTAGGCTATTTAACTCTTTGCTAATAATTTTAAAAATCAACTCCTGCCAAAAAAATTCTGCAAGGTCACTTAATGGATGGGGCATAGTCTGGTTGAGGGTTAAAGTGATATTCCCAGCTTTATTTTCTATTCCTTTCTTAACAAAGAAAAAAGTGAGCACTGGAAACTGCATGCTAAATTTCAAGGCTTAAATAGGCAACAGCAGGTACATTTGTAGAACCAGATCACTGAAGTTTATCTAAAACTCATAGATGTTCCAGATAGGATTGAAAATTGCTCTTCTCCTCACCAGAGGTGCCGCTATTGTAGTGCTACCATCTATTTTTCCTTGGACATAGAAGCTGGAAAACACAACCCATCTGTTTCCCCTGTGAGGCATAATAGAGTCCAAATTCTTTTGTTTAGTTTTGAAAACTCACCAGAGGTGCCGCTATTGTAGTGCTACCATCTATTTTTCCTTGGACACAGAAGCTGGAAAACACAACCCATCCATTTCCCCAGTGAGGCATAATCGAGTCCAAATTCTTTTGTTTAGTTTTGAAAACAAGAATTTCAGTACGGTGATACGTGGGTGATAATTTACGCTGAAATCAAGGTAATATAATAAATTTTAAGAAACTATAGAGACCCAAAACTGATGGATTCTCTTCTTTCCCAGAATGATGCAATGTGAGGTAGTGGTTCCATAGTACCCGAAATTTATCTCACCTTGTGGGGTCATGGGCTCTCTTGCCCCACTGATGGTTCTTCTCACCCCAGAGTAGACCCCAGATACTGTTTACTGATAATATTTTTTGGTGGGACTAAGTTTTGGTCATTTTAACTCTGTGAGCTGACAGCGGAGCAAGATGAAAACCAGCACCAGAGCAATGCAGGGCAAACACTTTCTACCATATGTCATTGCCTGCAGTGAAGATCTAGTCAGAATGCTGCTGGTTTGTGTGATTTTGAGTAAATTTGGATTTTTTTCATTTACATGAATTCAGATTTTAGACATTAATAACTAGAGTTCTATAGGAACCTCAGATTACTATAAATCAACACTGAAGTTGAGAAGACTAGAATGAAACTTTAAAGCATTTTATAAAGTTTATTAATTTTTTCTTACATCATACTACTAGTATAAACTAAACATAGTAAGAGAGGGCCCAAATCTATTTCACCATTAACACCATTTTAAAACACTTATGCTTTGTTCAGCTTAAAGTAAAATATTTTTATTGGTACTTCCAGTAATCTTCTGACATTCATGTACTACGTTATTGTTACATTATTAAAACTGCAGAATATTGTTTAAATCTCCCCCCCACTGTTGTTTAAATGGCAACATAGTTAGCACAAGCATCACAAAAGTGCATTATTTCAATTATTTTCATGTCAATTTCTGCATATGTTTCTTTTTTGAATCAAATTTCAGTTGAAATTATCTGTCATAGTTCCTTTGTAAAACTAAGTTGATTCAAAGTATAAAGATTTTCTTAATTTAATGACTGGCAGGACTTGAATTGGGGCAAATCCTATAGCAGGTTTTGCAGTCCATTTCTTCTGCAAATACCATAAGTGGAACTGAAAGTTTGAGATAAAGGGGTTGCTGGGACATGGTGTTATCTTATTTCTGGCTAATTTATTTTATCACAAAGCTTATTTTTATTAAAGCCAAACATATAAAGTGTGATTGACAAACATTTGACAGGGAAATGCGTGTTCCTGAGCTTCAGATTGAAGACCTGAACGTACGAAGCCTGTCCTTATTCCCATTTCTAAAAGTCATTTTCTACATTTTCTAGCATTAATTTGTCTGCTGTTTCTTTGTATATCCCTAGTTTTCATTCCTTTGTAAATGACAGCATAATAGATGGATTCTAGAGGCTACCATCAGTATAGTTATGTTAATTAGAGATATATAAAGTTGAGCCATGGTAAGCCCTTCTGAAAGCTAAAATGCCTAAACACTTTTAATGGGAAGAGAGCTGGGCTGACCCAAGGAGCCGACAAGGACACCTCAGCTTGTTTCTCAAAACCCTTAACCTTTTAAATTTATAAAAGTCTGCTTTTTACGCAGAAGTCAAAAACCAGAGCAATATCTTTGGTGTGTGGACACCTGTCTAAAAGTGAAAAAGGACAGCTTGATCTCTGCTGTTCAGAGATTTTTGAGGGTGAGAAGGGACCTGGGACATGCAGCGGGTAGGTGTGTGAGGGCTTTCTCTTGACTCCTGGAAGTGGACCACGTATGTGATGAATCATAGAGCTGCCTGGGTTGAAAGGGACCTTTCAGATCATCCAGTCCAATTATTGACCCAACAGTGACAAAAACCATCACTAAACCATATTTCTAAGCACTATGTCTGCCCATCTTTTGAATACCACCAGGGATAGTGACTCAACAACTTCCCTGGGCAGCCTCTTCCAATGCTTGACAACCCTTTCAGTGGGGAAATTTTTCCAAATATTCAATCCGAGTGTCCCCTGGAGCAACTTAAGGCCATTTCCTCTTGTCCTGTCGCCTGGGACTTTGGGGAAGAGATGCCCCCCCCGGCTACCCCCTCCTTTCAGGGGGTTGTAGAGAGCAAGAAGGTCTCCCCTCAGCCTCCTTTTCTCCAGGCTGAACACCCCCAGCTCCCTCAGCTGCTCCTCACAATACTTATTCTCCAGACCCCTCACCAGCTCCATTGCCCTTCTCTGGACCCGCTCCAGCCCCTCAATGACTTTCTTGTAGTGAGAGATCCCAAAACTGGACACAGTATTTGAGATGGGGCCTCATTAGAGCCCAGTAGGGGGGGGGGGAAGACACGATCAGATTCTATGTGATTCTTTGTGATGGCACGGGGAAAAAATGAAACAAACAACCCCACACCAAAAAGAAAAAAAAAAAAAAAAAAAAAAAAAAAAAAAAAAAAAAAAAAAAAACAAACCCGCACCACCCCAGAAATAAAGAAAACCTGCACGATTCAAAGAGAAATAAGAAAGTAGAGGCTTTCCCCAGAGCAGCCTTCGAGCCCCCCAGCGCCGTGGGGGGAGCGGAGCCCGACGGGCCGGGTTAAAAGTCCGAGCCCTGCCCGCGGCCGGGAGCCTGCGCCGCCGCGGAGAGGAGCGGGAGGGAGGGAGGGAGGTCCCCGCTGTCAGCGCATCCGCGGAGGGGCGGCAGGTTCCGCACCTGCAGCCGCGGAGCGGAGCGATGGGGAGCGGGGCGGGCGGCCCACGGGAAACCGCGCCGGGGCAGCAGATCCGCGCTCTTTTCTACGCGCTGCCCCCCGGGGAGAGCTCCTTCCGCACGGTGGAGGAGGTGCCCGACTACGTGGAGAAGGTGAGAGCCCCCTCCCGTCCCCTCCGCTCCCCCCCCGCAGCATCCTTCCTTCGCCCTCCCCCCGCCCTGCGCGGAGCTGCCGCCTCCCTTATTTTTAATTATGTTGGGTTTGGGGGATTTGTTTTGGTGTGGTTTCTTTTCTTTTTTTTTGCCCTGCGCGGAGCTGCCGCCTCCCTTATTTTTAATTATGTTGGGTTTGGGGGATTTGTTTTGGTGTGGTTTCTTTTCTTTTTTTTTCTTTTTTTTTTTCTTTTTTTTTTTTTTTCTTTTTCTCTTTTTTTTCCTTTTTTTTTCCTCTTTTTCTTTAAAGAGGGTGTTGCCAATGGGTGTGCTGTGGCAGCAGCATCCTGCAGTATGTTATTTGCTTCCTTCCTAATCAAAATATTATGGAGTTGTTATTGCATATCCCTGATGTAATTTTTGAAATTTTTTTTTTTTTTTTCCCCCAAAGCCACAGCCAGCCCCAAGGAAACAACGTCCGCGAAAGGGCACCTTAATTAAAATGAAATACCTCATCATTCTCTGACCGCTTTCACTCCTGGGCTCTCTGTCCTCAGGCTGCCTGTCTAAGCTGCCCATGTAACCGTGCACTCTGTTTTCATGCATTTTAAATGAAGGCTCAGATGCTTTCTCCTGATAGCAGGAGTTGAAGTTTTCCGAGAAGCACCCCAAATTTCTGGGGGTTGATGCTAAACATGGTTGCAATTATATCCAGCGCTGCTTGGATGTAGTGACAGCAAACCAGGAGCAAACCAGAAAAAAACCACGACGCTGTGTTTGAATATTATGGTTTTTAAAGCGCTATTATGGGCTTTAAAGCAAGCAAAAATTCAGGTCTCTGTGCCCTTAAGGCGAGTGGTACAAGCTAAGTCAAAGATAGAAAAACAAAATTTTCTATTTAAAATAATAATAAAAAAAAAAAAAAGAAAAAGATTGTTTAAGAGAACAAATATTTGAGTTGGGACAGGGCAGTCTCCCAAAGCTCCAAGGCAAGAGTACAGAGGTCAGGGGTGAGAACTCCCTTGTCAGCAGGCAGCAGCGTATCCTCCCTCCCCTCCTGCCCTGCCAGCTTATCCGCTGCCATGAAGGCACCTTTGCTCCCTTCTGTCCTACTGATTGCACATAGCCAGGCACCCTGCTCCTGCTGAACCTGGAACCAGTGTGACCTTTTCGTGGAGACAGCAGACAAATGCTCTTTTGCCCTTGTGAAAGTAAATTCAGCCCAGCTTCGCCAAAGATCCATGTTTTTTATGTGGGTCCTGGTAACCCTGACTGGCTCCTCTGCCAGGGTAACCTTGGACTGCTGTTGGGCTGCAAGGGGGGTGTTGGGGGTTGTGCAGAGCCGTGCAGCACCGTCAGCAGCTTTCTGGGAATTGTAGTAGTGCGGAGCAGCCCTTCCCCATGGCTGTTATCAGCAAACATTGCCCTTTTGGACGGGGGAAGCAGGGAGCTGCTGCAAACCCCGGGGGTGTGTGTGGTGTCTGATGGATGCCCTGCTTTCCTCGAAGGTGTTTTGCAGCTTAAGCTGCAGCATCGTGATTGAGGAAGACTGTCTTGAGCTTGACAGTTTTGCCTGCTCAGCTGATCTCTCCCTGTAATCGTGATCGAGGAGCAGTTTTGCCTGCTCAGCTGATCTCTCCCTGCAGCTCTCTATTGCCTTTCTCAATCACAGAATGATATGGGGTTGGAAGGGGCCTCTGGAGGTCATCTAGTCCAACCCCCTGCCAGAGCAGGTCCACCCAGAGCAGGTCCCACAGGAACGTGTCCAGGTGGGTTTGAATGTCTCCAGAGATGGAGACTCCACAACTTCTCTTGGCAGCCCCTTACAGTGCTCTGTCACCTTCACAGGAAAGAAGTTCCTCCTCATGTCGAGATAGAACTTTCTGTGTTCCAGTATGTGCCAGTTACCTCTTGTCCTGTCCCTGGGCACCACTGAAAAAAGACTGGCCCCATCCTCTTGACACCCACCCTTTAAGTATTTATAGGTGTTGATCAGATCCCCCCTCAGTCTTCTCTAGACTAAAAAGACCCAAGTCCCTCAGCCTTTCCTCACCAGAGAGATGTTCTTGGCCCCTCTTCATCTTCGTAGCCCTCTGCTGTACCCTCTTCGGCAGTTCCCTGTCCCTCTCGAACTGGGGAGCCCAGAACTGGACACAGTGCTCCAGATGGAGCCTCACCAGGGCAGAGTAGAGGGGAAGAATGACCTCTCTTGACCTGCTGGCTATGCTTTTCCAGCCTGGTGTCATTCTCTTGAGCCGTTTGGTGGTTCCCAAAATACATGCACTTCATAGGAGCAGGAGCTACTCCCGTGAAGCTAGAGTCGTCTGGGCAGCAAATGACAGCAGTGGGTGAAGCAGCCTAGTATCATTCTCTTGAGCCCTTTGGTGGTTCACAAAATACATGTACTTCATAGGAGCAGGAGCTACTCCTATGAAGCTAGAGTCATCTGGGCAGCAAATGACAGCAGTGGGTGAAGCAGCTCTGATTTGGAGAACAGGATAACTTCGTTAGGTTGTGTCTGGCTGTGGTTATATTACTCCCATTTTCCCTGAAAGAGCAGCTCCCCCATCCCTGCATCATGCTCTCTGTGTTGGCAGAGCTGCACATGAAGGCCCCGAGTCCTGTTTAAAACATTAGCTGATCAGGTCCAGTGACTAGTAGCAAAGCAGTGCCCGGGGAAAAGTCACCCTTCCAAGTAATCTCCAAAATTCTGGGAAAAAAGGTTCAAATCCTGGACCATAAACAAAGAATTTATTTTTATGTGAGCTTTTGTCATGTAGAATTTGAAAGCCTTGATTTTTGCCTTATTTCTAGGAATAGAAGAGAAGTTATAAGTCAATTTTCTTTCTCCAGGGCAGAACATCCTGGCCCATACAATGAATATTGACGCTTGTCCTGTCCTTTCACAAGCTTTCTCTTTGCTATGGACATAAGATTATGCTCTGCATGCTGTTTTTTTGATTCTCTCATAACCTACAGATGGGCGGATGGAGTGCTGCTTTTTGCTTGCCAGTATTTGGCAAGTTCTCACGAACAACAATAATTTCACTTTGCTCCTTGCTACGTTCTGAAATGATCACTTGTGCTCACTCAGTAAAGACTTCCATGAGTCAGACTCAGGAAGAGAGAGCACTGCTCCTTTTGCTGAGAGCCCCAAAATGAAAGCTTTAAATTTAATAACCACTGTTTTTCTTTTCTATTTACTCTCTACTTTTGAGAGCCTAAAGATTAAGTTCACATTTACACTCAATTCACATTTTAGGCTTTGCTTCTAAATAATGAGGCACAGAACCTTCATATTTAGTTTTACATGAAAGTTGAGATTCTTATGTTATAAGGGCTTGGGACTTAAAGAAAACAGAAACTGTTTCAAGACTTGCAATAAAACCATGAATTTATGTTGAGTTTCAACTTAGAATATTATTTTTTGCAACTGTATAAAGCAGATGCTGATTTTAAAAGGTCCTTTGCATTCTGTAAGGGTTGGTTACTTATAAGGGAAACCCCTCTCACTCAGTGCTCAGTGTAAAACTTAAAAGTTATGGATCAGTTATTCACATGTTAATGCAAATCTCCGTTAAGTATTTCTGGTGATGGGTGAATAGAAAGGAGCTGGAAACGGAGAGAGAGAAACACATTTCTAGACCAGAGGACATCAAAAGGATCCAGCTTCTGTCTCTGGCCTGTGATGCCAACAGTGACTATTTCCTAACTTTGTGCCATTTTGTTTGTAGGGGTGATTCTTGAAAACTTTTGCAGAGCTACCTATCCTCAACAGGTTCCCTAAATGTCTTCATTGGCCTTTTAACTTAGACAAAAAAAGAAGAAAAAAAAGAGAAAAAGTAATGATTAGGCTAGTGGGACTGTTGTCTGTCTTGCTGACTGTCTCCCTTTTTCCTGAGTTATTTGCATTATCTTTCTGCTCTCTTACATCTCATCCTTGGACTGCAGGCTGTTTGGGACAGGGGCTGCCTTTTCCTTCTCCTTGAACATCTAACACGGTACGATCCTGCTCCATGACAACAACTTTTAGGTGTTATGGTCACATAAATAACACATACTGGTCTTGACACAGCTGATCCCTTTGATCTGCTTTGGACAAAGCTTAATGTGGGCGTGTGGGAGAGAGGTAGTAATTTCTGAGATACTAAGAGGTATGCTGTAAATCTTTCCTTTTGCAAGCTCCTTGATGGGCATGAGGTTAAGGCTGTCTGAATGTTTCTCTGTCCTCCTTGCTATCACACTCCCTGTTTGTGAGTCAAAGTGTGCTGTCAAATGCTTGGCTGTCTCACAGCTTCACAGTGGGAAGAAAATATTTAATGAAGTCAACAGGAAAGAAGTTATATTAATGCGTTAGGAGGAAATCAAGTATTTTAACCATTTCAGATGTTGCTAGGTAAAGTGAGTCGCCACATGGAGTGCAGGCATTGTATATTTCTGATTCATTATTTTCGTTTCATGGATAAAGAATTCCAATTTGTCTGTCCTGAGCCTATTCAATGTCCTGTGCAGCTTCTGCTGTTCCCTAACTTAAACTGCCTGTAGGCAGTGCTAGACCTGCCTCTTGGTGTTGTGGTCAAGTGTTTCTTAGTTGTCCTTCATAAGACCCTTTTTATCTCTGCTAGAATGTACAGCTGTGGTCATCAACCTTTGTTTGATAAGTTGGGAATCTGTTCTTTAGTTATATCAATTAAGAAAAATACATTAAAAGTCTTGTCTACTTCGAAATGAAGCAGCTAGAGCAAAACTTGGAGCATTTATATTTTCCTATAACGTTTCTGTGATTTCAGATGGAAGTGATGGGGTTTGGTTTTTATTTCTTTATTATTGATTTCATATATCCAAAGATTTACCACATTGATTTTCTTGGGTGATATTTAGGCTTTATCTAAAGGTCTTCCTTTGCTTTCGAAGTTTTTTATGTCATCAGTTAGTGCGTATCCCAAACAGCCTTTTAGATACCTAAAAAGCTGATAAAGAGCAAGATAGGCATTTAAGTTAAAAAGTGCCATATTGATATTAATCTCTGTTCATCTGTTATTGTAACCTAACCCTCAGCTGCTGAAGTTTATGAACTTTCACATTTCCTAGATGCTATAAATCTCTTGCTGCTTGCATGGTTTGAATCATCCAATTCTTCTTCCACCGGGCAATCTGGTCTATATCCATCTTAGTCTCTTTAGTGTCCCAGCCTGGTAGGAATTCCCGGATCATATCTCACTTGGCAACAAAAATGAGCACCCTCCAAAACGCAATGGCATTTGCAGAGGCAACATGCTTCTTCCATTAAAATGCTGTATATGCAGAAGCAGCCCCTCTTCTACAGCAGTGCAGTTTGGAGGGTTTCAGTCTCTGAATCCATACGTGTTTGCAGGTCACTTGAATGGGGCAGCAGAAGACTAACAGGGCAAGTCTTGCAGTGTGATGCCCCTCATAATATTGCAGAAAGTCTCACTGGTCTTGCGTTTCTCTTGCCCTGAAAAACATGATGGGAATTTTATTCCTTAATACCACCGAGAAGGAGTTGTCCAAATGTCTCCAAGGCCACCTAAAAGTTTTCTGCAGAGTGAAGGAGGCCGTTGAAGGAACATTCACAGGTGCAGAGATCTGATGCAAGTAAAATAGCTCTTAACTTTCCTTGCCACAGGCCTTCTAAATTTTGGTGGCGATGGCTGATATGCTGCCACTGCCTTGTCATTCCTTCCACCCATGAAGTGTAGGGGCTGTTAGGACTCTGGTGTCAGTAAAAAAGCATATACTCTACCAATTGCTGTTATTCCATCCTTTTTTCTTGCCTATGCTGATGAAAACTTGAGAACAGCTGTAGCAGTCTTTCTCCACTGATGAAAAATGGTGGTGTCACGGTAATGTTACCAGTCTTACCACTAGTCACAGCCATACCTTTCTCTACTGGGTGCTGCTGTTGTGTGTTACCAATTTGCCAGCTGATCTGGGACACAAAATGGACAGTGTGGGTTGAATCCCGGACTGAAGCAACGCTGTGAGTGGGAAATGGTTTAGTCTTGCTCATCATTACACTTTTCTTCAGAAAGGCAGAAAACTATGTTACCTTTAGTGCAACCCAAAAGCAAAAAAGGGATCATTGTATTGTTGCTACTTGGTCTGGAAAGGGAACATGTGGTATGGCCCAAATTGGAATGGGCTGCGTAGTTACTGGGTTCTCTGTGTACACATAAAGAAGAGCTGTTGCTATCTGCAGCAGAAAGCATGGCAACAGAAATGTCGAATAGAAAGGAACTCACTTTTCTGTGTCGTTCAGATAATATTTTTAGATGCCAAATTCAGTGGCTGAACACATTCAAAAACCGCTTACATATCAAATCGAAAGCAGATTCTGTTTTACCTTGTGGCTAGAGGAGGCTGTAAACGTTGCTCCTCTCTCTGATTTGCTTGAATATGAGAAATATGGGTTCGGAAAGACTTTTGTGTTTTGTTTTGGTGCCACTTAAAGATTTATGTGCAGAAGATACAAAAGAAAATAATATGGGAGAAGACTACTGCACTGGACTTGTGTTGTGGGTTAAATGGTAGCCTTGGTGGTTCTGATTCTTAAGGTCCATGTAGAGCTTTATCATAGTAGCAGCCAGTAAAGTGTCAGCCAACCCAAGAAGTGTCTGGCTGCATAAATTGCTGTTAGGAAAGGTCAATCTAATTCCATTTGTGTTGTGACTTCTTGTCTTCAAACTATTTTTCAGAGTATTCCATTCTTCATTGCTTTTATTGGGCTGGAGTTTGCTGTCAGCTGGGCTCAGAAGCGTAAACTGGCAGGTCGGATCAATGATGGCATCAGTTCTCTTTCTTTAGGTATCCTGTCTCGACTGCCAGAGTAAGTACACGTGTTATATTAGTTTAAGATTGTTCTATAACCACTAAGAAGGAAGAAAAGAGATTTCTATATTGAAGTTCTTACTGCTATCCCAAAATGATTAAATGAATAAATGGGTCTTACAGTGCTAAAATGAAGTGGCATAAAGAGTGTAAATGTCTTTTTAATCTGTAAAGCTAAATATGATACTTGCTGGATATTTTCCGCCTACAATTATATTCATCTTTATTTGATCTTGACTGTCACTTTTTGCCTATTTTGGGACTTGACCCACTCACTTGACCACATCTTATGTTGGACTGTATGTTAAAATCTGAGTTTTCTTTCATTAAACTTCAGAAAAAAAAGAAAAAAAAAGCATCAAATCAAAACAAACTGATTATTTTCATTACCCATTAAAAATAAAATTGTGTGCATATAGCCCTATTGATAAAATTGTGAATATGCATGTGATCTAAATTTCTTTAAACTCAGTCATAATCTTGTGTTTGACTTCAGTGAATTTTAATACCTGAGAGAATTGTTGGGAATATGATCATGCCCCAGTGATTTAACTGAATTAATTCATGGTGAACAGAGTTGTGTTTTAAAGAAATATCCATCATCGATTATTAAATATACAGTAACAGGGAATCCAGCAAATTCTTTATATAAATTGCCCTAACTGTTTTTCAGGAGCTCTAATTACTTCGAAGGAACATCATGGTTTAGATCTGTCTTTCCATGATAGGAGCTTCCAGATGATAGATTTTATTACATTTTTTCTGTTAGAATGGGATTACATTTCTATTCCCCATGTATGAATTTACAGATTACCATCAAACTGCATATAATCTCTTCATTACATGAAGAAAAGCTCTTATGATTTGAATTTGACTATATGGTGTATTTTCAGGTCTTTCAATTATTCCCACAGTCCTTTTTCTGAATCCTCTGCAGTTTTTCAGCCTTCTTACTGTTGATGTCTCAACCGCACTCCATATTTCAGAAATTACTACATCAGTGCCAAATAATGAAGTCATTTGTTCTCTATTTCTTCTTGTTGTTCCTCCCTTTATATATCCCAAGTCTTTTGAGCCATCCTTCATCCCCAAATATTTTTTTGGATTCTGTGGTTTACGTTCCTCATTCATAGGCAATATGTTCATATATTTGTCCACATAGAAATACGTTGATTGTACATTTAGTCATCCTGCAATAGTCTGAATCCATGAAATGCTGCCTTTGTTACCTAGAGATCCCTGTTTATTGTCATTGCAAATTTTACTAGAAATCTCTTTCAATGCAGGTTATTGATAAAATACATTAAAAGAGCACAGCAATAAAAAAAAAATCCCTTCTGGCAAGTAGCACCCATTTTCTGAAATGTGTAAATCACCTCCTTTTTAATCTATTGAGCATTTGGCATTTACTTGATTTATTTTTTAAAAAAAAACCTCTAATCAAGAAAAGATTTGACAAGTTTTATGTCTGTGCCTTTAGATTAGGGACAGAGACAATTTGTGATGGATTATGTTAGTTAGTAGTAAATATCCTTTTAAGGAGTTTGGTAGATAAACAATGTCATTTAAAGACACTCCTATACTCTTCATATATCCACAGATAAGAGGCATGAGCTTTCAGCATGAGAAATGTTCAAACATAAAGTAATTTCTTCAGGCTTAAACCTATGTCTAAGTTATTTGAGAATTTTGTGAAGTTATTTTTTCAGCTAGTGTACAACCTATATTCAAACCATTTTTTTGCTTTTAATGTGACTTGTGAGCATGAACTTGAAGGAGAAACATTCAGTTTTTAATTATATTTTAAGCTGCAAGAAATTAAATATTTATCAATATATTAGGCTTGTGTGCACCAACACACAGTCTTGATAAGGGTTTACTCTAGTTTGCAGGAAGTTAATATTGAAGTAGTTCAAATGTTGTTTCTTCAACTTAGCCCAAATTTTGCAGTCATACACTTCAAAGATTTATGATGCTAAATAGATGCTATTTGTTTTCATCTGAAATATTCAGGACTGATTAAGTTAAACAAGGGGACTAAGATACATGTAAAGTAAGTTTGAATGGTTTTGTGAGGCCTTTTGGCGTTATTTTAAGAATACTTATTCCTGGAACAAATGCTTGCTAAGAAAGCTAGCATTGCGTGTGTGGAACGTGGCTCTGCAAGGTGCTGAGTACTTTTATTATTTTGGCACTCAGTACTTTGCAGCAGAATTTGGCTTGTGGGCTCTGCGCTTTTCTTTCAGAGAGGAATTATTTTGCAAGGTTGTTTCGACTGAGTGAACCAAATGAGCCTTAAGGACACAAACTTCACAGGATCAGGCAAATCTGTGGGATCAGTACGCTTATTCATTGCTACATCAGCACAAGAAGTCTCTTCCAGGTCGCTCGTGCAGCTCTTAGGGCTGGAAATACAAGACCCTCCTCAACAGTTCTTTCCAAAAAAAAAGAGTTCTGTAAAGCTTTTAACTTTCTGGCTGAATGTGAAAGAAGCAGGCAAAATACAGACTTCCTAAAAAATTTAATCGCATGTTAATATCAGAATTCTAATGGTGACTGTTTAGTGTAACACCTCTTTTGTAAGTACAAGGAGTTGTGAATAATAGAGTGGCTAAAAAGGCCTGAACTGTGAAAACAGAACAATTTACCCTTCTGTCTTCTGCTTCCATGGTGTGAAAGAACTGGGTCAGGAGGAAAGAAAAAGCGCATGCAAAATCTGTTGCTAAGACTTTCATTTCAGTCTCTCCCTTTCAGGCAGGAAAAAAGGTAGGGAAAGTTGACAGAAACTGCTAAAACAATATTTCAGCAGAACCCACAGCATCAGGGGAAATAGTAGTGCAAATCATTAACAGCTGAAGGTTAGATTAACACACCATTGATTGCATCCTCTCCCAGGGACTAATTTTCATTTTCTCAACTAGCAGCAATGGTTTGCCACTTCCTTAAAAAAATCTGTGGTTGAATCTAAAATGGTGGGCTTCAGTCTATTAGTTAGAATGAAGCTTCAGATGCATCACTGCAAAGAGGTCTTTACATTTAATGAAAAAATTAGGAGTCACAGACCATATTCAGCCTCTAAGTATGTTTTTCCATTTCACAGTCTGTATAACAGAAGTAATGCATATCTTGAGGGAAAACAGTATTTATTTAGTGCTTCTTACTTCATTGTTGGAGAAACTGCAAATCATAAATTGTTGATATTTGTATGCCAAATTTTAAAAATGTAGGTGCAAGAGGAAAGGTCTAATTGGACAAGGCAATGTGTTTTGGTTTTAGGCTTATTAGACTCAACAGCGTGTAGTAAGTTGAATTGCTTTGTGCGTACATATCGTCTCTTGTAAAATAGCCTATACATTTCTTAAATATAATTTTCTCTGCCTTAATGCATACTGTGCATTCCTCTGCATGTATGAATACTAAATGCTATATGCAATGAAAAGTAATTTGGGGGAAAGGGAGAAACCTGAATTACTAAGCTTACTCCCAGCATCCTAAATGTTGGTGGTTAAAAAATTTCTGAGAACTTTTATTTTAAATAAATAAATAACGTTTCAAACTAACCATTGCCAGGAGACTTGAAATGCTGCTTTAAAAATATTCTCCCAAGAGAAAGTTTATTTTGGGTATAAATATCCACTATACAAGTATGTGCATTATTTCATATTGGCCCATTTCTTCTTTTAAAGCAGCAGAACATAAATCAAATCAAAAAGTGTTTGGGGGATAACTGAGGTAGGTATACTTTCAAACTAGTTGGGAAAGTCTCCGTTCTTTATGGTCATGCTCAATTGCCAGTTTTTAGTGTTCAGCTCTGCAACACAGTCGTACAGTGTGTGAGTGTATGTATGGCTAACACAGAGCTTTGTCAGTCCAGTCTGCAATGGACTTCTCTGAAGAGAAGAATGAACTTCTCTAAAGAGAACGTTACAATTTGTATACATTACTTAGTTTGGTTTTTGAAACGAGGGGGATTAGAGTTCTCCGAAGTGTTGTCGAACATCAGAAAGGCATGAAAAAATGCCTTTTGATTAGTTCATATGATTATATATCTTAAGCTATGTGCACATCAGCAATAATTGTATGAAAAGACAAATCCCATTTCTGCTCTAGACCAGCGTATTCACAGTTTTGTATGTCATCTAGGTTTTAAATGCTCTTCTTCCAGAAGCTAGATTGCAGAGGCATTGGTGTACATTTTAGACCAGCACTGCTGCCAACTGAAGCACCTTTGACTAACTTGTACTTCTGGTTGCTCATTCTTGCTTCGGCGTCTTCTCTCCCCTTCTGGCAGCATTGCATTTGTGTTACCCTGTGGTGAAATGTCCCATTAAAAAGGTCCAGCACCCCCTGCCCCCTCCCATCATATTAACCCACATCAATTCTTACTATGGCTTTGCAAAATCTTGTGCTAGCACAAGGAATGGGTTTGGAAAAAAGCAGTCAGGATTGCGAGACAAGAAACACTCAATTCTTTTGCGGCGTTACTGAGTTATCTGCTTTAAAACATATGTACAATTGCAATTTGAAACCAGAAGTTTTCAATTCTTAACAGCAGCAATATGCAGAGCTGATTAGAATAGACTCGGTTCAAGTTGGTGCAAGCATTTCACAGTGCTGTGGAGCTGGCAGTGTCCCGACAGAACTCAAAATACTTGCCTGCATGGATTTATCCATTTAAAGTACATCCTGGTTTCCTGAAGCATCTACTAGATACTTCATGTGTGACTACAGAAAATTATAATCTCATAAATTAGTGATTGCATCTCTTAGAAGAAAATTTGATACATACGGCTTCTCGTAAATTATATTTTCGCTTCAAGACTTATTAGGTACATTTTTTTTCTCCACATCTGTTTTACTAAGGCCTTGGACAGATGTTTATTTAGAGCATGGTCAGATGTGTTGCTTCTGATCCAGGTGCCCCCTCAGATCTGCCAACATAACTGCACATTTAATTGCTCCCTAACCTGGTCCTGACAAAGTGATCCAGCTAAAAGC